TTGCTTGTAACATAAGAAAGTTTGACTGAACACATTGAACAGAACACCAAGTGGATATTTCATGTAACATAAGAAAGTTTTACTGAACACTTTAAACACTGAATGGATATCACATGTAATAAACACATAAAACACTTTTATTGAATGACTTACATTATGTGTCAGATCAAAGTACTTGGCACAAGCAAGTTGATAGTGAGAGTTACTGACCAGTCCCATTACCTGAAGCAAATAGAACGCAATAAATAATAAATCGCTTTAATATTACGAAAAACAATTTGTCTGTGGAAATCACAAAATTTTGTACCAGTAAAAATGTCTCTGGGGACACACACAGTGTGTCAGTGACTTTTGCAAAATATGATCTATTCACGAATACCTTAAAATCATCAAATTGCAAAACATTCCTAGCAGTGAAAATTAATAAGTGGATGTAATACAGTTGTGCTATGAAATTGCATAAATGTACCAAAACATAGTTAAACTACATATGGCTTGCCTGATATATGTAAAGTTCTAGTAGATATTTGTTAATGAATTCATTGAAAATGTTAAACACTGGTGTTATTGATAACATTGAACATAATACCACTACTTTTACACTATGAACTTCTCAAATAGAAACTATATACACCAAAATATAATTTTTTGGAAGGTCAACTCTGAAATCTATACAGGCCAACTATACCTACAGATTAAAGCGGGAGGGTCGTCACCTATGCACGCGCGGGAATTGAGTCCCAAGCGATGATAACAACACACGCAAAGGATCATGGGTAGATGCTTGTTTGTAAACAATGACACGCTATTGCCACGTGACGCATGCGTAGGTACGACACCCACGCTTTAACCATATAAATAAGTTTTATATCGATCTGTTAAATATTATTGGAGTTATTACGCACACAAGAAAAGTGTATAATGATGATGACACCAGATGACAGACATTTTTTTCACTACTGTAAAATCTGTATTAAAAGCCGTGGCCTTCTATTAAAATGGTACAATGCAACAGAGGGGATGCGGCTTCTATTAGAGCATCTACACATAAGAAAAATTTTGATTCTCAATTGTTCAAAAAGAGCGGGTTCGATTTATATTAGGGATGCGGCTTCTAACAGATTTTACAGTACTATGACTTTCCCCTTATGGACAAACCAAAAACAACATTCTGCTATTATAACATTGACTGAAACAGAACGACGAAGTGTACAAAATGGAACACATTTATCGCATTCTTGTTAAAGCACCGCATTTGTGGTACCGCATTGTGTACAGCGCATGTAAAATACATTGTTTACGTGAAATTTCAACACTCACTGCACGACTGCAAGATGTGCATTTATTAATGACCAAATAATGAGTAATTCTTACCTCATTGACGCCATCTTTAGATACCCCATATGAAGCTAAACGTTGTCTCAGTAGACCAGCATCCGAATGTCGAAATGGACAACCTAAATACAAACATAACAAATTTACAATCCAACATTGAAGAGTAGTGAGATTTATTGAACTGTCAATTTATAACATCATGCTAATTTCTTTTTCTGTATACTGTATTTTGCTCAATTAGAAACTCATCTCCAATAGAAAATGTTATTGTATATTGGAACATTCTGACCACAACCACACCTGCCATTTGCACAAATAATACACTACTAATGTAAAATCTGAATTAAAAGCCGCAGCTTCTATTAAAATGGTAAAATGCAACAGAGGGGATGCGGCTTCTATTAGAGCATCTACACATATGAGAAATGATGAATTTTTGGTTCCCAATTGTTCAAAAAGAATGGGTGCGGCTTCTATTAGAAATGCAGCTTCTAATACAGATTATACGGTAACAGCAAAAACGGTAGCTTATTTTTGCCTATGATCAGTTATAACATGGGTGATATTGTAAGATCATTGCACGTCAGACAAATTGCAAATCTTTATCTTGCAGAATCTTATTTTTTGGTTCCTAGTATGAATCATGAAGTGTGAGAGTTCAATGTCCGATGTTTAATGTTCCAATGTTCCGCCAGACCCATCATTGTTATCTGCCCCCGACTGATACTCACCGTGGAAATCGCCGTTAGCTGGCGGATTTGTCATTATAATTTTCATACAACTATAAGGGGTGTAGTCGGCTCTTTTACCTTCTTTACCGTAGTTATGACGAATGTTGTAAGAATACGATTTATCAAACTACAGGCAAAAATTGTTTACATGAAACAGTTATTGGTTAATGTATGTTTTGATAGGCAAACAGTTTGTTAATACATGTACACATTTTAGTACAGAACCATTATGGTAATATATGCTTGAGTACAAGATCAATACGATAACATAAGTTTCAGAACAAGATAATATACATTTGAGTACGAGATCAGTATATTAATATACATCTAAGATCAGTATGTTATTATACATTTGAGTACAAATTTTCTTTCACAGTTCCAAAACCTTTGCAAATTACTTACCTTGCATGTCCACAAAGTCGAAATACAAAGAATAATCAAATATTTTATCCAAATAATTCAAATCTTCACACATGAACAAAACGTCTAGCAACAGTTTTTCAGTAGATTTCTGGTTCTAAGATTTTGAAGGCTGATAAATATGTCTATATTTTATAAACCCAGGAGCAAGTAAATGGACACATTCAAAAAAAGCCATTGTGAATCAAGGGCTAAAAAATGATTATTCCACAAGCAGAATAAATACCTTATCGGGGTCAATCTTCTTAGAAAACTCAGCTCTCCAGAATCTCAATGCATCCTCTAACATCACACCAATACCTTTGAGGAATAAACCGTACTGCATCCGACCCCAGTGACGTAAATGATGTTCCTGTTTCAGAGATTCTTGCAATTGGCGCATGCACAGTGGAAACGACTTCTTTGAAAGCTAATAACACAAAAAAAAAGAAAAAAAGATTTTAAAAGAAGATCAATGTATCGTAAACAATTTAAATTTATTAAGTTTCATGAATTTCTTGAGCCTGGGGAAATCATAAAATCTAGATTGGCAGAATTCTGACCAACAATGGACAAGAACAATGAAGTTATGATAATTACATATCCTAATAAAGACGAAGTCATCATAGTGACTCTAGCAAAATTTTATGTATAAGAAGTTTACGTTGAAAAGTTTTCATCACAGAATATATGTGAAGTGTTTTATCATGAATCTGTTGGACACATATTTAAATATTCAAGTACATTTCCATTTTGTTCGACTTACTGGTTCAATTTGATCAATGGTCACCTTTCCATTAGCTTTTTTACATGTGTAGTCCTGGCCGAGGTACTGTTTACTAAGTGCTGTCAGCATTGGTAGTAAACGACTGTCTTCTTCCAAATATGGAACGGCTCTAGCGGTAATCTATAAACGTATTCAGTGGGAATAATAAATGCAAGTACTGTAAAATCTGTATTAGAAGCCGCGGCTTCTATTAAAATGATACAATGAAATGGAAGGGATGCGGCTTCTACTAGAGCACCTACACATATGAGAAATGGGTAATTTTTGGTTCTCAATTATTCAAAAAGAATGGGTGCGACTTTTATTAGGGATGCGGCTTCTAATACAGATTTAAATTCAGAACAAGCACGGTACAAGAGATTTAAAAAGAACATTTTTTATTATTTTAGATTTTGATAAGGTGACAGAGTTTAAAACAAAAATAATTCAGGATGTTGCAATTTCACATATACTTACGTACATGTAGTATTCTAAGAGTGGGCCATATTTACAAACAGTGATTAAATGAATTAAATGTACCTAGCATTTTATGTTTCTTGAATGTGCACCACTACACCATGTATTTTTATGACATCTGTATGAGCTGTTATGCAATGCTGGTCAAAGAGCTGGTGAAAATGGCTAAAGTCAAGAAAACGGCCCAAACTTTGAGCCAATCTTGAACAACCAAATTGAGAGTTTTTGACCATTGTTTTATATCAGTGATGTTTGTCAGGCGATGAAAATGCCTGGATGTTCACTCCCTGGAACACACATATATATAATCTAAACTGAGATTTTTTTTATACAATTTATATGTATGAGAACAAGTATAAAAAGTTGAGAAAATACAATCTGTTTTGTAACCTGGTACTTACCGCAAGTGAATGCGAGAGATGAGCTCTGAAAGCACTCAGAACAATAGATACCAAATCAGATCTTGGTACGTACGCATAACCCTAAAAATAATATGATATTACAACATAAAAATTATTGTCTGTTATTCTTTTTGGAAATGTCCTAGACAAAGGTTGATTTGTAGATTATATTTCATCCTCGTTTGTCGTTATTATACAGAAGAAGAAAATTGAGGTGACCGGACAAGTTTTTTTGAAATGTCATGGACAATAACAACAATTTGAATTCTTGCACTGGTTTCTATGGTGACATTGTTTCATGACTGGAAAATTTGCTCTGTGACATGGGATACAAAATTTCTAGATTAAGACTGATATAAATTCAAATACACTGTTATTTTTTAAACATTTCAAAAAATTTACATATGATATTTAGCGTTTTTTCCAGCAAGCTAATAGTTTTGCAGTACTGTAAAATTCTTTATTTTCGCTACGGTATTTATTTATTTTTCCTATATTTTATATTCAACGCATAAAATATTAGTGATATAAACTATATGCAAAACAGCCAAAATGTTATTTCAGTGAAAATTAAATCAAACTAAAATAGTAACATGCAGAGTAGTGACAAATTTGAATTTGGCTCAAGTTCTCTTTTTTCTGGAAATCTATGTCAATGCCCTTTTTTTGAAAAACCTTAATTTTGTCATCCTCAAGTTTCCAAGGTTCTGCTGTAGTTGAATTTATTTAATTTTGCATTTAAACCTTGTTGAAATCCTTTCAATTTCAAGGCATTTGTGTCTATTTTTGTTTCATGACAATAAATGCGAGCTTGCCATGTACAGCCATTGCCATGGCAACACATGAAATCTAGGCATAAACTTGCATAAAAGATGGCGAATCTGATATGGTCAGCCACTACTTTAGTGAAGGTGTGGTGTACCACTGGTTTGATACCTCTCCCCAAAGTGAAGTTCTTTCGAAAATAGTAGCATAGTGTTTTTTCTCAATAAAAGCATGCAAGACTCAACCCCAAAATGTGTATAGTGGAACATTTTTACCACCAGACTTTTTCACCCAAATTTGTCTGCTCTTTTTTTATATTTTTTTAATATTTCTGAAAGTCAACCCTAATTTTGAAGCCAACAGACACAATTTGAGTCAATTTTATATTTGTCGAAATCCTTTAAAGGAAAGTGCAGACTACATGTACATGTACAAACATGCTACTTTGTAAATTTGTGATGAAAAGAATGCAAACTCCTATACAGAGACCAATATATTTGTCACAGATTTATAAAAAACAAGGGTAGACTTTGTGAAAATCAACCCTACCCGGTACTTTTGAAGCCAACAGACACAATTTGAGTAATTTTTCAGTGTTTACACAAAACAATTTGGCTATTTTTGTTCTTATCTTTTGGAGGAAAATGCAGACTACTTGTAAATTTGAGATGAAAAGAGGGAACTAGATGTAAAGAATAAGGTGTCACATTTAAAGTCAGATAAAGCATCTAATATGCGGTCTCTGGCAGATAAAGCTTTGTTCCAGTCAAAGGCCTGGGCACTTCATCTCAGGTCTGACTTTTTATCTCAGAAACGCGAATGCAAACTCCTGAACAAAGACCAACAAATATATCAAGGACTTATAAAGACAAGAGTATGTGAATGGTGTGATTTAATGAAGTTCTCACATGATTGAAAAAGTCGGTCAAATTTTGAGTTGATCATGAAATCACAGGACAAGTATACATTTGAAATAAACTGTTAGTGTTCGACTCAGGCTGCTTCCGCTAGTATCCCTGCTTATTCACAAAGCATTATTATCTCGTTCATTTCTGACACAATTGAACCTTTCCAAGCGTCCACTTTATTATGTGACCCCCATTGGTTAAAATACACTTGATCAATATGCACAAGAAACATGCAAGATCACAAGATCCTCATCACATAACATCGTCTTTAGACATTTACATATCCCCGTCTCATAAATCCTTAAGACATACATGATTTTAGCACAATCCTACGTGGATGCAAAGGATACTCACCCGCTCTAAGTACACCTTTCTGGATTTCACAAGATCTAATGCTTCAACGAAAGGAACCTGAAATTAAAACAGATAATTGTATATTTGCATTCAATTTCACCCGCTCTAAGTACTGTAAAATGACTAATTTTTACTGGGTTTAAATTTCACTGATTTGCCATTTCAGGCATATTCAGTGGGTTTTAAATTCACAGTTTTATCATTTAGGTAATGTGTTCTATGCTAAATTTTACATATTCACTGGGTTTTAATTTAGCGCATTTTCCAGTCAGCGAAATAAGCCAAATTAAAACCCAGTGAATAATTAACCCCTTTACAGTACACTTTTCTGGATTTCACAAGATCTAATGCTTTTCAACGAAAGGAACCTGAAATTAAAACAGATAATTGTATATTTTCATTCATTTTTTTGTATTGGTATTCTTCAGTAGAATCTGGTTAATATATCAAGAATAAACTTCAGAGAATGTCAATGATGTGGTATTAGGTCAGAGATAAAACAATACATCTTATAACAAAGCACATCAAATAATTTTTGTGACCTCCCGGCTCAAGCGACGTTTGTTTCTTCAAAGGGGATGGTACACAAAATTAGGCTGAAAATCCTCCTATAATCCCTACTCTCCAGGAAATTAAAAACATGTGCATGTAATTACAATAATAAATTTATTATGTCCTTAGAAATTAGGTTCTAATCAAGTTTTATTGGGTGGCAGCAATAACATATTAATACAATGCAATGATATACAATAAAATAGTGAAGTAAAATTTCAGTCATTTCTCATTCATATCATATGTAAAAATACATGCAATTAAATATAATTTTTATTTGTTTTTTATCCTGCGATTTGTCTCAACCTTATTTACTTGTGTATTATGCAGGAACATACTAAATTGCATTGTCCCTGCTAAGGAGTGGACCATTAAAAACTGTGGAGGGGGCGTGCAGAATTTTTTTTCTGTTATTGATCTGTGCAGGGTGTTTTTCCAACGATTTTTTCTGTGCGAATTTGTTTTTCAATTTTGTCATCATACGCTCCCCAATATTTCTGATCACATTCTTGAATTAACCTAATATTTTCTACAAATTCCTTGGATTGGGAGGTTAGGGTGTCATATTAAGAAGTAGTTCAAAATGAATGCAGGTAATCACATTGGATTGGAATGCAACGTTCCAGCGATGTGAGAACATAAACAATGGTGCCAATTTAACACTACCTTTACAATTTTCAAAATAAATGTGTAATAAAAATTCACTAATGCTGCCAAGCACTAAAGCCCGATTTACAATTTTTACAGTTTACAATTTATTGTGAGTAATGTAAAATTAAGCTGCAACATAAACAAAGCGACATATGTTTGAAACAGCTGTAATTTATTTATTTTTATTACTATGTACTATATACTATGTATGCCTTATTTTGTATTATTTTGACTATTGCCACGCCACATCATTTAAGGTTTCAATGAGACTGACTGATTTAGTAGACCAATCACAGACCTCCTTCTTATCACTGGTCAGAAAAAGGGTCACACACGCACCAGGGGTTTCGTTAAGAGTCGACCATATGGCCTTCTATAAGCCCAACTTGGCCATCTAATCTCTGTCCTCTCGAGCACCTACACCAGTCTCGCTGCAACGCTTCGCACTGCGGAGAGCCTTTTTAATTTTTTGGCATGTTGTTACAGGATGATGGCCTGCTATTAAGTGCAGTTGTGAAAGCCCTGCACACACTCAAATAAAATGACAACTTGTACTAATTTTAGTGAGGAAAACAATCAAAAAAACATTATTTATTTTGGTATGTTTATCATATTCAATTGCGATTAACATTACTCTCTGATTTTTGTACCATTGTTACTGTGGGAATGACAATTGTTGTCCAGATTGATTGAACATTGGTAACTTTTGCGATCACTTGTACTGGAGTAAGGTTTTGTTGATTATTAGCAGGACCCTAGAATGCAACTATTTTGGTTGCCATGGCTACTGTAAAATGACTAATTTTCATTGGGTTTAAATTTCGCTGATTTACCATTTCAGGCATATTCAGTGAGTTATAAATTCACGGTTATATCATTTAGATAATGTGTTCTATGCTAAATTTTACATATTCACTGGGTTTTAATTTAGCACATTTTCCAGTCAGTGAAATAAGCAAAATTAAAACCCAGTGAATAATTAATCCTTTTACAGTATTTTAAATTTAATCAATGGCAAAAAAAATTGTTTTTATCTATATCGCTAATTGGCAACATAAGCAAAGTCTAACTGGTGACAAATTCTCTGTATCAGAAAACAGATGACCGAGGTGTGCAGCTTTTAAACTCTTGGTGGCGAACTTCTGTGCATTTCATTATCCGACGTATGAAATTATCATTATGCAGTCTGGAGTGATAAATCATGTAAGTTTGCAGAAAAATGAGATAGAAAGTGGATTACATTGTGTCAAGTAAAACCAGTGTTGGCTGATAATGATACAAAGAACATCGCATCTAAAATATTTAAATTGTGAAATATTGTCTCATCTTAAGGTAGCGAGAAGGGTTTCGTGACGTTTTTGAATAAATCATTCTCTGTCTGTTGTCTTGTTCAGAAGAGTAATTTAATAGCTTATATATTTCAAAAGACTAAGTATAGAGGTACAAGTTCGCACAAACTGGACAGTCATTGTTTACATAATTATCACGCGACATCAAATATGGCGAATCTTGTAAAAATGACTAAGTCCTCGATTGCGAGAGCACACTGCGAAATTTCCTGGTGAAATTTACGTCATGCATTGTCCGTAATC